TACTGCTTTAAGATTTTATTGATTTTGGCTTTATAGTAAGCGTGAATTTAAACAATATCAATAAAACCACAAATTCTGTCTACGTGTGAAATTAGCATTAAAACGTTGCGATAAATAATTGACGGTTGGTATTAGTACCTAAGTGATCGACCCTCGACCTCGGTCGGATCCTAGACTACATCCGACAGTTTAAAACGCCCCCTAGTATCCGATACTGTAATGATACTAAAACGTCCTTTGCAATAGGTATCACGCAAATATCATTAGCACGTTGCATCCACTGAATAATTCTAAGAAATATCTGAATGTTATGTCGAAAGCAATATACAGAATAAAACTTTCGACAGATTTGTTGCAATGCGAGACAATAAATTACGTACAAATTATTTATATACTATTTCTATTTAAATTATGATAATTCTGGTAAATTACATTTTTTAATGCAATGGAAAGTAAACAACGATTCTCAATTTTAAAGTTTTAACGCTTAAATAACGTATTTTATATTAATATCAAATACTAGAAAGTTCTTTGCCACAAAAATATACATTCGTAATACTAAAAACATTCTCAGAGTATGTTAAAAGCGTAGGAAGTTAAAGGTACAGATCAAAGCTCGGATGTAAAGTCGCGACACTCGCGGCGCAGTCTGCGCTCCAGCAACTTTAACATCGGCTGGAGACGGTTTTCCAATTTCACTAGCTTCCGCTCCGATGAACTAACACCTAATTTTCGCGTTCACATCGCGTAAGGTCTCTAGAGTCGCCACACATACTGGATCTGATAGTTGTAAAGTTATGTGTATCAGTTCCATATTGCTGTAAAGTTTTATTTCCTATTTACAATATACCTATAACAAACATTGCCGCAAATGCAACCTTTTTATGTATTTAATATACACTCCATGATGTGAAGAACAAAGGATTCTTTGTTATCCACGATGCAGTAAACAAAATAAATTTGAACGCAAAATACATTTGCAGTTTTCACTTTCGTTAGCTCACAAAGTGTACGACTTGATTGTGCGGCAGTAGACGTTTAGCCTAAATTGGCAACCGGCGTGGACCGGCTCTCGGCGGCGCTAGCAGTGACCGTTTGCGCGTGTCCTTCATTTAGCACCTGATTCTGTACCCTTGGTAACTCGAAAACTATCACATATGTTAGTAGTTAGAACTGCTTTGCTGTGCCTTACAACTGTTGACACATTTGTATCGAAATATGTGTCATCTTATAAGATAATCTGTGTAAAAGAGGATCCTTATTATGTTTTTGTACATGTCGTTCGGCAGTTCAATCTCACGGTTTAAAATTTATAAAAACAACACCATACCTAATTTTTTGCGATAAACGAGTATGCAAGTTGATAATGACGTTGCGATTTCTTCTTGTATTCTTGATTGAAATGAATTCTACGAAGTTTGCCCGACCGTGTCTATGGTGGGAAGTTATTCGTATTTCGTATGTTGCAGATAAGTCCGCAGAATTCCTCTCTATTTTCCCGGCTCGCGTTAACCGATAAGAGAAAAATCGTCGACAAAAAGTAGATTTTTTATTCGCTATATTTTTTTAACATTTACATTCTTAAAACAGATAGACAGAGATTACGTATGTATTTTTGCAAACCTCTCGCTCATTCATTGCTAAATCTTTAACTTTTTGAAAAGTAATAGGCTTCAGTCTATTGTAGGAAATATCTTGAAGGCTGCAATCAGGAAGTCATTTTTATACTGTGTGATAAAACGGAGACATTGATAACGTGTATGGAGGCCATGTTTTAGTGAGAGTAAACATTAATTATGATAGTGTTTAAAAAGTTTATAACTAGTTTTATCATTGCAACGATTACATTGCATTTTTTACTCAAAAGAGACAATACCCTCCATAATGTATGTCGATGTAAGCAACGCGGATTTGTTAACAGACGCGATAGTAATTGATCAGAGTTTGTCAATCGTTTCTCATTCAATGTAACGCTTTTAGTTATAAGAAGACGACCATATAATACTCTACATTTATTGTCCTATGCCCAAAAAGAAATAACTTATTAAAATATCTTTCTGTGCAGAATTCAAACTGCCAGTAGTTTGCACTGCACGTTTATCAGTCAGTCAGTTTTTCCTTTTATTAAAATCGATTGTATGACGTCTCAAGATATTTAGCAAGGAAAAGAAGAAAGTGCATTCGAAGTTTAAAAATTTCCAATGCATTTTGAGATGTTAGCAAATCATTTGTCTAGCGAAGGCCGGTCGGATTTGGAATAAGCAGTTAAGATTTAACGAGCCAATGGCAACTGGTTTATAGCGTCTGTATCACCACTGACAGGAAATTAATGCAGCTCTAAACATTATTGCCTTAAGATTTACGTAACGTTTCGTTCAAAAGTTAAATATATAACATTTTCATTCAATTCCAACGATAAAATAAATTTATCTGATTTATTACTAACTTAAGACTATGTGTCAGCTATTTGTTGGGACGTTAGTTTTGATTCTACAGAACTGGATTCCTACATCTCCTTAATGTTCTTTGAATTTGAAAAACTTAACATAGTGTTTCCTCTATGAAAGAAAACTTTACGAGGTTCTTCTATAATAGTATTACGAAGATGGAAGATATGCCTCTGTACATTTCTTTATGTATTTGTCTGCACTTTTCGTATTTTCATCAAAGTTCAAAGTTCCCAGAAAGAAAGGAAAGTTGTTTTCAAAATTAAATATTAACTTGATTTTTATTCTACATATAAACCTTGCTTAGGTTGGATGAGCTACTTTGTACAAGGTAATTATTTTATAGAATCTCCTAGAAAAGCGTGTATTTAAATGTGGGTGGAACGTGAATCACGCCACTCCCCGAAGAACCCTCTCAATATACTTGGCAATCTACAGGATTCTTTTCTTATTCACGGCGGTTTCGGTTATTATTGGTATATTAAAAATTATAATACAAAAGATCACCCACAAGTGAAGTAATAGAGGACACATTTTTATTTTTATTTTTTTTATAAAGGAACTACAATGGGAAAACTTTATTCTCTGTATTTGATATTGGTATTTACAAGCGTAGGGTCCTACTGCCGTAATTGTATTAAAATTTATTGCCGTCCCACTCATTATCTTCGTAAAAACGGCGATAACAATATGTTTTTGTTTCGTTGTTTCTTTAGTGGAAATTCATGGTAAGCCTGCAATGTTTATAGACTCGACGAATCAACAGTTTCAAGGGCGTTACGAAAAATATCTGACATCCGTTCCTATTTAAATCAAATGTTTAAAAAATATAATCATTTACACGTTTTTATGTTCCAAATGAAATGTTCAAAGTTTATTTTTAAATATCAAAGACGATAGTAAAATCTAAAGAATGAATTTATTGAATGGATTTAGGAAAAATTGTTTGTCTACGGTTGTTATTGTGGTAACCCACGTTTGTTGTATTGTCATGAAATCATAGCTATGTCATAAGGTGCATTAAACGTAACATATTAAATTACTTTGTTAATAAAAAGTACCATAAAGAGGTATGACACGTTTTTGCAAATCCTTACCAGTGGAAACCTACACTAACAAATTAATCAGGTTAAAAATGTGTACACCGTTCATACTGATAGATATTGCCCTTACCGTGTTTGTGAATAAAATAGATAAGATATGACAGTGATTGCTATCTTTGCGTTCTTTAGTTACGTTAAGGAAGTATAGAGATTTTTTAACACAATATTATCTTTGACTTTAAGTAAATATTTCGAGACATTAGATTGAAAATTTTGCCCACATATATCAAGGATCGATTGTATTTTATGCAGGATTACCACGTAAGTTTATAAAACAAATAAACATGCTCAGATTTAACTTATTTTTGAGATACGAAAATTAACTATTTCTTGTACTTTAAACGAATGTCAAATAATAGTGGAATTCGTTGTTCGAATTCCATAGTAGTGGTCACATATATGGTATTGTTTGTTATGAGTTGAATATTATTACCCTATCCACCTTCGGCTTCCTTGTCACACAACTTCTGGATCTCGATTGTCCGAAGTCATTCGGTTTGATCCGTCTGTACTGACACAAACGTTGCAGACTAAGAGACTTAGTTTACGATCAGCGCTTCTGATAAACGTTATTAAAGTTGCTATCAACTTTTGATTGGGGTTCGGATCAAACAAGCGGCGCGGTTCGTGTCTTCAGTGACGTCACAAAATGTAAACGTTAACTACATTTTATCGATTACTCTGAACACCTTCAGTTTTTCTTGTCGTTGCAATTTCTAGCGTAATTACATTTTGATTTTTACTTAAAAGTATTATCTTGCTGCGTCTTTTTATGTGAAAATTCATTTATTATTTAAATTTAAAACCAGCTTCACTGGTCAGTTTTTTGATGTTTATCGTCGTATAAATTAATACTTAACTCTTTGGAAAAACATAAGACAATCCATCTTTGTTGAACAGTTTTAGTAGTTCAGGAACGTGGAAAAAGCTTGTCTATTTATTAGTGTGAATCTTAGTTATTATTATATTTTATTTATGAAGTACGTAATGTGCAAATCTGCATAGCTTAGAGTACAATGGCCACTGCAGGCGTCCAGAGAGAAGCCAACAAGGGTAATAATCAGCTCTCTGAATATAACACTAGAGAGCGTGCTGTGGAGCGCCTAATACGATTATGTTCATCTCCCTGTTGTGTCTGTGTTTAGATATTATTAAATTAATTAGGATTTTATGTCTTTCTGGAATATAATTTGGTAACTGACAGAGATAGAAGTTAATTCTAAACATATTCCGAAATGTTAGGAAACATCATAAAATAATTATTTTAATTGTTGAAGAAATTAAATGTTTTTCATAACTATTTGTAAATTGACATAGGAATATATTACACATTAAATTAGTTTTATTGAAATGAACAAAACAAAATTAATGTCTTATAATGATGTAAATTTAATTCAAATGAGTGTTTAATTAAAATTTAATAAATTACAATTTAATTGTAATTTTACAGGATACAATTACGATGGTGTTATGCCCAAGCGAAGAGGGGGACGTTCGCTTGATGGTAAGTGACTTACTTACCTTTCTATGACACTGCGTTGTCATTAAATATATCAAATTACAAAATGTTGGGCAGCATGGCATACTTATATTATTATTATTTTAAACGAAAACCTTCCGCTGTCTTAATTCGTAATAAAGATAAAAAGAAATTTTACATTATATTGTATCCGTATTTGATAACCAATTAATTATATAGATTGCCATTCTTTTCTTTCTCTCTCAACATTTTTGTAATTTGATTACGCGTATAGTTTTTTTTATTATAAATTTGGACTTTTATTAATCTATATGTATTTTTCTATTTATCGCTTAATTTTTTTGGATAACAAATATTTTTTTATGTACTACCGACAATGTGTGAATGAACTTGAGTCGCCGAGACATTAAAAAAAACAACTTTAAGTATGTAGACGTCAAAGAATTATGTAAAGCTGTTAGATAGACCGGATATCGAAGTAGAGATTGACAATAGTTAATAGTTTTCGCGGACTTGGTAAAGAGAACCGGTGTCGGGAGTCGAGTGCGTCGATGTCAACAACTGCAGCTGTAGCGGTGCCCGGACCGTCTGTCGCCGGAGTACTAACTTAATTACCCGAGCAATTCAAACTCGCCTGCGACCCTTCACAATACTTCCACAACTTTAAGGCTCGTCGTACACAAGGTGATGTAAACCGTAGAACCAATATGGCGCGGTCGCGTCGCGAGAATCGCGTTTCTCACTCTCCGTACACATAACGTTGAATCGACGTCACGAATCCTCTCGGTCAGTAAAGATATAACGATTAGATGTCAACTGTATAGATTTGCTTGATCTTGAAAATTGCAGCAACTTTTCTCCTTGACAAACAGGTTGCGAGCGACTGTTTTTGGCGATGACAGATAGATATGTCGGTGAAATCTGACATTGTAATGCATAAATCGCTTAGGGACTAAAATCCCGGGATTCGAAGATATTCGTCGCTTTGTGTACGACGGGCCTAATTCTGTTTGTATTTCGCTAAAGCGACGACAAGCTAAACTTTCGAGCAAGTGCATTTAAATTAACTGGTCCGTAAATTATAACGATATTTTAATTGACACATTAGAAGTGATTGTTAAATCCTAAGTGATTTTAAGGCATCCGTTTATGGTGTCCTAGACACTTATTTAAAATTGTACATATAACTTTCACTGAGTGCAAACATATATAACCACTCAGTTATCATTTTCACCAGTTCATTATTTAAATATGGAAGGAATTTGCAGGCAGTTCAAAGTATTTCTATTGTAATGAAGAATTGAGTACAGAAAAGATGAAGTACAGCGTGAAATGACTACTTAGTGAAGTTCAACCTTGAAATTGAGTAATTATCTAACATATAAAATAGTATATAATGTAATAATTTATTTAATATATAAGTAGTCGGTACTCAGAACTGTAATATATCAACGTGTACCATTGCGTGTCTCCGATACTAAAGAATAATAGACTCACATTCAATTTAAATCATACAACGTTTAGTCGCTGCGTGTACATCCGTTGTGAATGTATACAAGGAAGCAATAAAAGAAAATAAATAAGTTACAATAAATATTTATACAATGTTCTATTATAAAAAATATTATTATTGTCAAATACTGTTGCTCTATCTGATAAAATTGCTATATAGTATTATGAGGATGTATTTTATTAAAGTAACCATGAATTTCAAATAACTTGTATACGAACCAGTGTATGTTTGTCTGCTTGAATTCTAAGAACTGTAGGGATGGTAATATATTTGTAATTCGACGGTTAGGATTCACCGTAAGATGCAGCTTACAGCATAGTACCTATTGTCACTAAATTGTACAAAAGATACATTTAAATAGCAAAAGTTATCTTACAAATAAGTAACTTGAAAACTTTATAATAATTGAGTTTCAACGCCTTGCAGTGTTGTCGAAGTTGAGGTAAGATTTAAGCTCTAATAGTGTGTTTATTCACACTTCCATATTTGATTTACGATATTCCCAAACATTAAAATATAAGTATATTAAAATATGATGTAAAAAATACGAGTTTCTTAACTTAATCTAAGGATAAAATTCTTCGCATATTTATAACAGAATTAACACATCTTTTCTGCTTTATAATATTTCGCAATAGAAAAAGTTATCTGGGGCTTGAATATTTAGGGCGTAAATAATGTAACTTTGGAAGAGTAATCCATTCTCTGTCGTTCGCCATTCAGGCTTCCGAAAAATGTCGAAGTCCGTCACTGATTGGCTAGCTGAGCCGACCTTTCGAAGGATTTATTTCGTGTCACTTTGACGCTTTGTGTTGAAATGCCTCCAAAATCTGACCGTCCAGGCTCGTCTACCGAGTCTCACCGATAAAATCCAATATTCTGAAAACATATTCGCTTTGTTTTTTTTTTTGGTGTGTTTGTTTCGATTACTTTGACAAGTATAAACAGGGAACTGCGAGCACAAAGTGCTTTATGTAAAGGTTTCGCCTGTGTAAATAACAAAAATGCAAGAAACATTTTTATGATGAATTAAATGTTACGAAGCTTTCGTTTGATAAAGTGTTTACTAAAGTTAAATGAGTTTTTATTACAAGATACTTTTATAAAATGTTAATAGTAGGAATTCACTTTGCTCTAGCTTCACTAGTCATTTCTTATTTTGAAACTTTAGTTAATACAATATTTGAGTATTGGATAATATGCTTCTGTTAGTCCTGTTTACACAATATCTCCGTGATAGCTCATTCTTTGATATCATTTTATCTTATCCTGTAAACATTTATTATCTGTAAGAACTTTTCCTCTTATAAAATTAATTGGTAAACTTTAATCTCTGTTATTAATTCTAGGCAACGTTTTATTTCACAAAGCAATTCAAACTCGACATCGCACGAGGCAGATATTAAAAGAGTTCTCGAACTTACTTTTGTATGTCAAAAGTCGAAAGCTACGTGATAACATTTATACACAAATCTTCTTCTTTTTATATTATATAAAGAAATAACGCAATACATTTGTTAATCTATATAAAGTGAAAATTTGTATAACTATGAATAAAGGGAGACAAAAAATCAAATCTATATTGCAAAAGTATGTGAAAGTGTCGGTAACAAGGTCCCTGAAATTCACAATGAGATTAGCGACACCCTAAAGAACCGCTACCATTTTACCTGTAGGTGTACGTAATACAAGTAACGCGTACTTATGTAGAAACCTACCACTTTATAAGGTAATTTTATTATCGTCCGTGTCTAAATCGATGTGACACGTAGACCAAGAGATTTTTGGTATTCTAGATTGATCGGGTGGACGAAAACTAAAATCTCTTTTAAAAGTTAAAACATTTTATACTTTCGTACCCATCATCATCATCATCAGCTCACTATACGTACGTCCCGACCGAGGGGCTCGGAGCCTACCCTAAGTTAAGCGTGATGAAATAACTAATAGTTAACGAGCTAACAAAAGTGTTTAAAAGAAACAGTTGCCATGGACCTCGTCATGTCAACTATTAATAATTGTCTGTAGTAACTTTCGTACCCATACCATGTGACAAATAGTTGTGTTATTTCATAATATATTTACTTGTCTATCCACATTAGTCACACAATGTAGTCGACTGATACAATATTTTACGCTGAAAGTTTTTGGCTTGACATATGACGTCTACTTTCTGCCCCTCACTGTAGCCATCGTCTCATGCAGCTCCTATACATTAAGTTATATTGACTGAAATGAATATATGTAAGTTATTTAACTTCCTTGCCAAGGATCGAAGTTCACTTACCTACAATTTTTATTTTAAAAATCATTCTATGTATATTTAAATAAAGGATAGCTTTTTGGAAGTGTTTTAGGTTATCAAGTTATTGGATGATGCAAAAATGTTTGTTACAACCAGAATGTATTCACTAAACAATACTTTTCGGAATTAGTCATAGTAGTAGTTATCATTGAGTTATATACAAAAATAACTAATAGTTAACGAGCTAACAAAAGTGTTTAAAAGAAACAGTCGCCATGGACCTGGTCATGTCATCTATTAATAATTGTCTGTAGCGGTCGAGTGACAAGTTGTCAGTGCACGCTTTGAGCGAGCTCATGCTATGGCCGGCGACATTCACCTAAACGGTGACCAAACGGTCAGCTGGTTTATGGAAAATGTTTGAAAACAATACAATAGATTAATATAAAGATATATATGATCATTTATTAAGCAATTAATTAAGATGTGTTTATGTTTATTAATTTATATAAAGAATTTATGATTAAAGATATTTTAACGTTTAGTGACCTTTTACTTTTAGCCAATTAATATTAATTTAAAGACATTTTATTGCTCGTATTTAAACACACAATTAGTCAACTACAATTACTCTTAAATAGGAATAATATGTGAAGCCTTTTAAAATAAATGATGTCTAAAGACAATCCTTAGAAAATTTGGACCGAATATGGTGTGCCTACTTCTGTCAGAATTGGTTTTGGCATAGTTGCCATGTGGAAGACATCGTATCTGACGCCACTATTTTTAGTAACGGCACAATATATTTTAAGGTTGTCAATGATTTACTGCTAGTGATCTTGGATTTTAGTTTGCATTCACATATTTTTCATTTCTATGGGGAACGAGAATACGTCGTAAAGTAAATAATTCAGCTCGACTTTTAACAATTTGGGCAATTACTTTTACACTATATTTATATTGAAAATGAAAGCCCAAATTTATGTAAATTAGTGAAGTAAGTACGTCATGTAGTTTTTTTTGCTTTCAAAATTTTTTAAATATTTAACTCTCATAAATATGCAAATCTATATTCTAATAAAAATGCTAAGGTAACTTTTGTTTTTTTTTACTTTTTTCTACTTTATTTAATTTATGAATTCATTGCAAAAAAAAATAACACAGATTAATTTTAATTTTCTTATAACGATACGGTACTTATAGTCAATACCTTCAATAAATCAATATATAAAGTAAGATGAAGACGTTTAACATTGTTGAGAGCTT